CACTTATATTGACAATCTTAATTCGGCTAAGCAAAAGCTTGAAGGTACTTCCGATGTCTACTATATGACTAACCATAAGGTTTTACAATGTGAATAGTGAAGGATAATCTTGGATATCATACTTACAAAAATAGCTTATCAGTACAATAAGTGTATCTTGTGGCTTTGTACCCAAATTTAACGTAAAAAATATGCATGGAATTGCACTTATGAATGAATGTGTTTTTCCTACCTTGCACTTGTTCAGGCTTCTAACTCGAACTTTGAACCTGTGAGCTATGCTTGTAACTAATGTATAATAATAGCTATATGTATGTATATAATTTCTTAGCTTTCTCATAAACTAAAGTTTACAATTTTTATTAATCGAAGTATCTCAGTTGCTTATTCTAGATGACTTACATCATTGTTATAACTACTTCATTTCGATACCTTGACATTTCCTTTGTATATACATTTATTTTTTCTTCTCAAAACATTTTGCAATATTATTTTCGTTTATTTTGTCGGCCAGCCAGCTGATGTTGTTGGTTTCTTGTTTCAAATGTACACAATGTGTTACCTGAACTCTGTCCTCTCTTGGTGGAATCAAACCCTAAATTTTAGTTATGTAAGTCCGTGAACTTATCCCTGAATCACCGCGAAATGGACCAGCTACTTTAATCAACTTAGTAGTTATTGTGAATGATTATAAAGGCAAATGAAAATTGAAAGGCATATGCACGCCCACGTTTTGGACTTAAAGACCATAAATGCCTAACCGGAAGATATTTTCTTAAAAATATCACACGCTACATTATATTTTATTAATCGACGGTTTTAAGTGTTTTCAACTTATTAAAAATGTCTTCAGGAGTAACTGTCCTTTTAAATTGATTAAATGAAACATGACATGAAATTAACATGAATTAGTTTGAATAACTTTAACTGTAACTTAGCGTTAAACCCATTGTAATTAATCTTCAATTCATTTGTGTAATATTACCATATTAATATTTCTAGATATGAAATTTATTTATAGGTTTGTCATAAAGGGTTGAAAAACATATTCAGTTTTCATGCACAAAGCTTAAAATAAGAAACGATTCTGTTACATGAAAGGAAAAGCATTTTCTATTAATTACTTATTTGAGAATTAACGAAATGTATTGATTCTCAGTTGAAGAGAATACGAGTCTGATTTCGATGAAACATTCAGTTGATATTTATGAATCTCTATAAACTTTAGTTTCGTAGATTCAGTCAACTGTTCATGTTTTGAAGGTAACTCAGAGTAGTGCCTTTCGTCCCCGGTAGGATAGCAGTAACTCTACACACTTACAATACTAATATTTAGCGTTCGATTCCCCATGGAGGACATAGCACAATGTGGCTTTGTACTAAAACAAACTACTGTCTGTTATTTTCGCTCGGACTATAATCCAAGGATTTTCAAGAGCGTGAATATACAATGTGTAAACAACATAAAACTTGATTTCATTATTCATATTGTGACATTACTCATAAGAATGTGTTTAGTAATAATTATTATACTTTAATCAATACAATATTTCCTTGGGTACAATATATAACATTCCGTTTTAACGCATGATTTTTGTTGATTTTTTAATACCTAGGTCTTTTTTTACATTTGTGTTAGATGACCAAAAATCA